AATTTATAAATTATCAAGGGCTCATGAGGGAGGGAGGAGCGGGGAGGGAGGAGGAAAATGAGGACCTAATGCGGGGGCCTTAAGTGGAGAGGAAATATTTTGAGAAGGATGAGGGCAATGAATGTACAAATGCGCTTAACACAACTGATGTGTGTATGGATTTTAATGAGAGTTGTATGAGCCCCTAATAAAATGATTTTTTTTTAAAGTCTAGCCAATAAAATTTAACAACATAACAGAAAAACATTACATCATGATTAAGTGGGATTCACACCAGGTATAAGAAATATAGTTTAACACAAGACAATAAATATAATCCACAACAGAAACAAAACAAAGGAAAAGCACCACATGATCCTATTAATGGATCAGAGGGGGACCTGGGTAAAATTTAAAACCTAATCCTGTTAAAAAACAAAATAAGTGAAGAAGGTAAATTCCTCAATCTATCTAACGGTGTACATACAAAACCAATGAAGAAATTGAAAGCATTCCCCATGAAAATAAGAACTAGATAAAGTACCCTTTATCACCACTCCTGTTCATATTGTGCTAGACCTCTTTGCTAGAGCTGTAAGCCAGAAAGGGAAATAAAAGGCATTCAAATTGGCAAAGAAATAAACCTATCTCTGTGTTATAATTCTATAGATAAAACCCCCTCAAAATTGAGAATTCATCAAGACAATTGTTAGAACTAACGGAGAGGTTCAGCAAAGTCTGCAATAAGTCTGTGATAAGGGGATGAAATAGTTGTCAAGGATTTAATTTTACTTGAATTCATAATCAATGCCCATGCAAGCTGCAGTAAACAAATGTGAATCTGCTGCATAAGCACTCTTTGACTTGTTAAAAAGCAGCTTGAAGATTAAGGTGCACAATGAAAAGTTAGAGCATTTTCAATCACCTCATGTGCATGCAGAGACTAGCAATAAGGATGACCATAGAAGAATTGTTGTCTTTGAATTATAGTGTGGGTGAAAAATATTGACTATAAATATTAACTATACCATGACTGCTACAAGAACAAACAAATCTGTCCTGGAAGAAGTACAGCCAGAATGCTCCTTAGAAGTCATAACAATGCTTTATTCAAGAGAAGAAAATGAAGGAGCTTTCTCCAGTGATCAACCTGATGCGGATAAGGATAGAAGACTTGGTGTCCTATATTAGGCAGTAGATACTCTAAACCTTGGCAAAGGACCCTAACAGACCTCCAAAAACTACAGTGATCACGTCCTGGTCACTACATTTCTAAATCTCTAAAACTCAGAATACTTCCACCAACTGATTCTCAAACTCACTTCTTTAATGGCCAAGTTTCCAGTCTATTTCCTTCCTCTTCCTATTGTAAACGTGAAACTGGGGTACAGGGAGAAAAACACATAACTAACAGGCCAAGGGAGAGCATAAACAGAAATAGCTTTATTTAGGGAGAGCAGAAACAGAAATAGCTTTATTAGGGGGAGCTCCCAGACAAGGTTCTGTGACTTAGGCCAACAGGTCAGGGAAGTTGTGCTCTGCAGCTGGGGGCAGGGTTTTTTAAAAGGGTGGTAAGGAATGTATGACAATTAGCATATGGGGTCTACTCCTTGTGGCTTTCTTTAAACCTGGATCACCAGTTATCTTATCTGATGCCCTCTGCTGCTGACTTATGGGGACATGCAAGGAAGCACATGCAGGGCCCTTACCTGCTTCAGTTTAGTCCAAACATTCCAGCCTTTTTAGTGGTAAATGGGTGTCAAAATCTGATGTGACTACTTCCTGCTGATATGGGGCTAAGGGGCAGGGCTATGGGCCAGAATGGTCTGGACCAGCATTGGCAAGTAGGTGGGGCTGTAAGGATGTAACAAGAGTTGGTTAGCAGTTAGATTGGATATGTCTTTCATTCATTCTTGAAGGAACTTAAAAGGACAGGGGTTTAAAGTAAAAGCAAGCAAATTACACAGGGTCCTACCAGGGACATGATCCAGGACTTAACAGGGTTTTAGAACCAGGAGGTGGTTGCTACATTGTCCCAGTGGCAACTTTTTAATTTCCTTGGCCATGGTTTTTAACACTTTAAAATTTTGCTCAACCACTCCCAACTCATTAATATAGTAGCAACACTTTTTCCTAAAAACATGCACATACCTCTCGTCAGATGTTAACAACGGTTCTGAAGGGTTACCTGTGCCAGGGATGTGAGCTGTTGCTGTTGTGAGAGACCGGGGTTGTTTGGAGCATGCTGTGCTCTAATGTTCTACTAGAAATGTTTGTTGCTTCCAGGGAGGAGGTAAAACTAAGGTTTACTAGGACAAGTGGGAACACAGGTATGCTTTGCCTTACTAGCCCTGATTTATTATCGTGATAATGGCAATCAAGCTGTTGCTGCAGAGAGGCTAGAGACAGGGATGAATTAGGAATGCTGCTCTTCTCCACTTTTGGGTGGGGAGTAAACTAGGCTTGTTCAGCTGAAGTTGGTGGTTGGAGGTCTTTTATGACCCAGTGTCTATTTAGAGTTAAACCCTGAGTGATGGGGTGAGGCAAAGGTCTAAACAGATAACCAAGGAACGAGATAATTGTGCTTTGGAGGGAGAGAGAAGTTAAGGAGTTGGGAATTACTGGTTGTATGGGGAAAACAGGTTCGTTAATGAGGTGTAGGTCCTAGACCAAGCATTAAGTACTGTTTGGTTTCTTTACTAGAAGCAACGAAGTCTGTAGGGCCAGTTCTTCCAGGTCGGGTGAAAGAAGGGGAAGGAGCGGAGGTGCTGTAAGACCAAAAGTAAGGTATAAGGAGGCTCCTAACTTATTTGAAATGTCTTTTCCCAACAGAGGGACGGGGCACGAAGGGATTATAAGGAAGGAATGAGTAAAGGGCTAGTACACCTGAGGCAGGTAGGCTTGCCATCAATATCCATGGCCAAGATTGAGGAAGGACTGCTTAACCCTGAAAATGAGGGCAGGTCAGTAAAAGTAGCCTCTGTGTAAGAAGGAAATTTACTCACCCAATATTTTGAGCAATACCCTAGGCTTGGCCAGGGTGATGGGGGCAGGGGTGTCCAGTTAGGGTCTCCTCAGACTTTGGGGTATTATTGAGGAAAAGACCCAGCATGTTGTAGAATTGTGAGTTCCGTTGGCAGCAGAAGTTGAAGTTAAATAATAACTACCGTATCTACTAGAGTATAAGTCAGGGCACCTAATTTTACCACAAAAAACTGGGGGGCTTTTCAGCATTAAACGTGTGCTGAAAAAAATGTGGCTTATACTCGATTGTATACAGTACACTGAGGTGGGACACGTCATCAAGGTGGTGGTGGTGTTAGGGACTGTCAGGTCATTTCTGACAGTGACCCTTTGTGCAATAGAATGAAACACTGCCTGGTTCTCTGCCATCCTCATAATTTGTTCCCTTATTTGTGCCCATCCTTGCAGCTACCGTGTCAATCCATTCTGTCCAAGGTCTTCCTCTTTTTTTGCACTCCCACTGCTCTACCCAGCATGATATC